AGTATACTCTTTAGGAATGTCTAGGTCCGAGATTCTAGTTTTATTCTTCGATAGCGTATAACTTCTATCCTTCCTATAATTATTATTATAACCCTCCTAACCTAACGGTAGTGTCGATCCGGATTGAATACGGTTCTCTATAATTCCTATCGACGTAAACGTCTTACGAGTCGCTCTGCGTTTGTTAATCTTATCTGCCTGCGAACGCTACCGCGGTATAGGTTGAATGCCGATTATATAGTCGTATTCCTTAAATGTAAGTACTCCTTTTCTCTAGTCTACGACTAGGTTATGCTTTCTTAACTAAGGTATACCTAATACAATATTATAACTAGCTATATTAGTAACATCTAAGACAATCTCCTCGTAGTGCTGTTAGATAGCTAGTAGTAACGGTATCGTTTCTCGTTCTATACTAGGTAGCGGTGACCTATCTACTACTATAAGTTTATACGCTCCTTCTCTTCTGCTTCGGATTACGATCCCTCGGCTTTTAACGAATAATTCGGAGGCAAAGTTCCCGCTCGCTCCGGAATCTATTAATATACTCGTCGGGTGCCCGTTAACGATAACTTTCGTACGGAAGACTGCTATTAATACTTAAGCGCTTTCGGTATTAAGGAACTCTCTTAGAACGCTCTAATCTAGAGAGTTAGTCCGTTTCCCGACTAATTAGTAGCCTAACGTTGTTCTAACTAGTTACGGATCCGTAGTCCTACCGTTCGTACTTCTTTAGCATATAATTTTTCTTCGAGGGTATCGTTATATGCGTCCCGTCCCTACGCTACTATAGCCTTTCGGTATTGCTAATTTAATCGCTAAACTGTCTAACGTATGTCTTAAGTAATAATCGTCCTTTCGTTAGGTAGGACGTATCCGTAGGGCGTAATTATACTTCCTATCGGTACTCGCTCCGTAATGAAGTTATAGTATGTATAGTCTATAGGTATCTAGGGGTAATTCTAGAATTTTGCCCGTAGGCTTATCTAGAAATAATTAAATTAGATAGGATCGACCTTCCGTTATCCGTTAACTTTTAGAAACATTTCCTCGTATTTGCGTACTAGATGTAAGGCGATTGTTCGCGCTGCTATAGGTGTATCTATTATAAACGTAAGGATCGTATCGTCGTTAATCCCGAATTCGTCTTTACTTTCTTTATTCGTAGTTTCTTCCTCGGTATCTAGACTTCCTTTTGAATCTTCTTACTATTCCTCCTCTTACTAAGGGAACTCCGGTACTTCTAGGATAGCTCTAAACTCCTCCCCGGGAGGGAATAAAGCTTCCGGATCTCGGTTTTCTTTATCGTCGGTATCTAAGCAAGATTTATTAATCGTTTCTTCTTCTAACTAGGATTTCGCATCTTCTCGTACGAGTCGCCTAATCTAAGGGAAGAATCCTACTTCTACTTTAGCAGAATAATGAATTTGGTATTAGTCGTCGTAATAGAATCTCTAGTAAAGGGTTCTATATATAGGTTCTTGTCGTCGTACTATTATATAGATTTGTCGTAGCTCTTTCTTTACGACCTCTACGTAGGTCCTCGGCGCGTTATTAATAGAGTATAGCTCTACTACTATTCGGTAGCCTTCTCTACCCGAGTCCTTTCGTTATATTATATTAAACTGTTCGCGTCGCACTATATTCTTACCGCGGTAGTTCCGTGCTATATAGCCTTCCTTACTATACGTATAGCAAGTTAATCTTCCTGCTTTCTTAGGCGAACTCTTACCTTTTCTTCCTTTAATTGCTCGACCCTTCTAGGTAGCGTCTAGCTCTATTAGTTACGCACCGTAGTAGTTGTTCCCTTTTAGTTTATCGTAGGTACTATAGTTTCGTCTATTATCGTATCTAGGAGTATAACTAGCTTTTCTAGAAGTCTTAGAATCGTAACGTCGTTCTAAAGCTCGTTCGTAGAGCCTATCGTCGAGATCGATCGTAACCTTAACTAATATTCCTATATTATCTATTTTTCTACCGTCGCGTATAAGCTCGTCTTTAACGTTATCCTTAAAACCTCGCTAATACATTGTTATAAGAGCTTCGTCGTCCTAATCCGTAAGTTAGGCGTATTCCTAAAATTTGGCGGCGTAATCGGTATATAACCCCTTCTAAGTTAAATGTTAGATAACCCTAACTGCGGTAGCAACTTCGTTAGAAGATCTAAAGACCTTCTTTATTATACGCTTAAGATTTTCGTAGCTAGCGAAGATTCTATCCGAATTGTCGGTCCTATTGCTATCTAGATAGGTCCTAAGAAATGGTTTAACCTAATACTAAGCCCTACCTCGTATAAACGTCGTTGCGAAGACTAGCTTTAAGTTATCTTAAACCTAGTTAAATATAAAATACATATCTATCTAGCTAACCTAGGTATCGAACTTGTCTCGGTCGCCGTAATAAAAGTCTAGCTTTCCGATCTTAAGAGAATCGTTTCCGGTATAGGTTCCGAGTACATTGCTAGTACTAGAGGTAGTACGTCGAGTACTGCCTATCTCGCTAGGGGCGGGAGTTCCCCTTCCGACTTATAATAAGGCACTTATCCTAAGGGCGTTTAAAGTGTTACGGTTACTTACGACAGATCGTTAAGTAACTTCTTATTACGTACAAGCCGAGGCTTCTTTAGAGAGGCTAATATAAGCGGGAGGCAGAGACAGAATAATTAGTATAAAGGTAATTCCAATTAGTAAGTAGGTAATATAAGTTAAACGCCTCGAGCTATAAGGGCATTCCGGCGTTCCTAAATACAAAGGAGACATCTTATCTATAGTCGTAAGCGACGTAAGCGACGCTGTCGCTCTCGACCGCTCCTATCGCTCCTAGTAAGATAGAGCGATAGCTTAGCCTACTAGTCTTAGCGTCGCTCTAAGATTATGTAAGGACTCTAACTAATCAGATCCGTAACAAAGCGCTAAGTAGACTCGCGGAATTCGATAAATTCGTCGTTAAATTAGAGATAGCGATCGTACGTAGAATAGTCGCCTTCTTCGTACCTAAAATAGCGCTTAAAGAAGCAGGTACGCGCCTCTTCCTCGCTGTCGCTAAAGCCTCGAGAAACAGATAGATTCTTAATATCTAATAAGTAAGCTGCCTAGTAAACCTCCTATGTCTACTTTAAGAAGCGCTAGTTAAATAGCGACAATAACGCACTCTCGTAAGGCAATAACGCCTATTAAATCGAGCGCCGTAGTCGCTACTAGCGAGATACGACATTACTAACTCGTAAGGTGTCGCTCTTACTAATAAGGCGCGCTTCGTCGATAAGCTAAAGGAGCGTATAAAGGTTCTATAGGCGGCTCTAGAATAGAGGCGAGTTAATAGTGTTAAGGGCCGTTGCGGCGCCCTTCGCGAGTCTACCGTTAGATCCTCGGAATAGCCGGTTTGCTATTATTCTACCGCATTCTTAAAGAGTACTCGTAGCTACGAATAGGCTGTATACTATAGTATAATATAACCCCTAGCGAGTAAGGCAGGTAATAGCGAAGGCCCTTAATATTACGTCGTTGTCCTTAGCAAATACCTTTAGTATATTCTAACTCTTCTTCGACCTCTTAAATAAGGTAAGTACGTAACTAGCGGCGCGAAGCGTATCGGTATAGTATAGCAGGTACGACTTCTTATTATCGTTACCCTAATTACTAACAAACAGCTAAATACCGTATAAGTCGCAGAAGACGTATATTATATACTTCGTAAGCGGATTCTCGGCGAGTCGCTAGTATATAGCCCTTATAGTCGCGCAGGTGTCGGTTTAGAGCGAATTCTAGCGATTAAGGTCGCTATTAACGAAGGGCAATACCTAGTCGGTTACCTGTCTCGCTAGGTTTACGGCATTAGCGTTAGAGTCCTTTATATCGAGTAGGTCGCAGAAGAACGAGCTAGATAGCGTATTTACTAATAGATTACAGAAGCGAGTGCCGCTACGGCTCTTACTCTCGTCCGCGCTAAAGTTAAGATCTCGTTACAAGTCGAATACGGCTTATACTTACTTCTCGAGCTCCTTATAAATAAGAGGGATGTATTCTACTACCTTCTTATAGCCTAGCGGGTTATAGTTACTATTAAACTTATAGAAGACCTCCTTCTACTTAGGATAGTGCCTCGTATCGACCTTATTAAATAGCCTTCTACTATATAGTAACGCCTTCGTAATAGCGAGGTCTCGGTCCGCCTTTAGCTTAGTACGACTAAAGTTAAGCCTTCGCTACTGCTTCGGAGGCGCTTCTTCGTCCTTATCTTCTAAATAAAACCGCTTATAGTCTTAGAATTGCTTACACTTCCGTAGGTGCCTCTATTTCCGTATTAGGTTGCCCTCCGGCACCGTACTATTGCTCGATTAATACTAGATATAGCGGACAAACTTGCCCTTATTGTCGGTCTCGAAGGGGTAGAAGTTAAGGCTATCTAGATATACTAGAGGAGGCATTTTTAAAAAGTCGGAATTTAAAGATTCGTAGAATTGCTAGAATTAGGAAAAACAGAGGATTAGATAGTCTAAATAGGCGGTAAAATAGCAGACAATTCTCTCTCGATAATACCTCTCGAACTATCTAGTTTATAGGTCTATCGGATAATATTAGTAGTACTATCTTCTATACTAACCCTAGTAGTATAGCTAGTTTAGTTGCTAGGTAACCCTACGCTAAGTAGTCTCCTAAGCAATACCCTCTCGGAAGACCTATAGAAGCAACCTCTACGCTAATCTATACTAATTTAAGCTTATTCGAGTCGTAAGAGACAGTTCTATAAAAGATACTAGTACCGAGAGGGTTACGAAGGCACTATAGTTGTTACTCACTTCTAGCTATTATAAGATAAGGTTGGAACTGCAGCCTGAGGCACCGGATACTAACAACAACGGTTACTAACACCCATTTTGTTAGTAACGCCAGTATTCGGCCTTAAGGCGTTACTAACGACACCCCTACGAGTCCTCGCAACATCGGCGCACTCTGCCACGAGCGTGGTAAACAGTACAGTACAGTATGCGCAAACGGCAAATGCTGACTTCCGCGCAGCTTTTCGCATTGCCGCCCGCATTGCTGGCTGCAGTCATCGCCTTTTCGTCCTCCGCCGCGCACGCACAGTACCCACCGCCGCCGACATATGACAACATCCTTAGATCGCCTATAGACAAGAATGTCACCGTCGCCTACAAGCAGCCGATCAATGGCACTTGCACCACTGCCTTCTCGACACAGAAGCAATACACGGGATACATAGGCATACCGCCGTTCACGCTCGCTCCTATACAGCAGAACTACTCGATCAATACCTTCTTCTGGTTCATAGAAGCGCGGCAAACACCAGAGACTGCGCCGCTTACAATATGGCTGAACGGTGGACCAGGTTCGAGCAGCATGTTTGGCCTATTCAATGAGGCTGGGCCATGCGAGGTTGTTCAAATGGCCGATGGGACATACGGCACGCAGATGCGACCTTTCGGCTTCGATCGGGCCTCCAACATTCTTTTCATTGATCAGCCGAATCAGGTTGGCTTCTCGTATGATTTGGCGACAAACGCTTCGCTGGATCTCTTCGCAAATGAGGTCTATGAACCTCCTACGCCGCCGAGCAAAGAGCTCCCAGGCTTCATGTATCTTAATGGCACTTTCGGCACTGCCAACGAGAACGCCGCGAAACCATACGCGACGACGGCGAATACCACGGAAATTGCTGCGGCCGCGACATGGCATTTCTTGCAAACATGGCTTTCGACCTTTAGCCAGTACAATCCTGCGACCAGGCCGAATGTGACTACACCCAATTCATCCGACGAAGCGGCTGGCATTCATCTTTGCACGGAGTCGTATGGTGGCAAGTATGCGCCGGTATTCTCTTCTTACTTTGAGGAGAAGAATCAAGCTCTGGCGAGTGGTCTTCTGCCGGCAAACGACACCCTGGCTATCAAGCTGCAATCGGTCAGCATCATCAATGGTCTCGTCGACGACCTCATTCAAGATTACTACTATCCGTCTTTTGCGTATAACAATACTTACAAGATTCAGCTGATCGACCAAACTATGCAGCTGAACGCCATCAATAATTACACGACGAAATGCTTGCCAGCCATTCAGTCCTGCCGCGCAGCACTGGCTACGACCTCGAATCTCTACGGCGACGACGAGCGCATCAATGACTTATGCGAGAGCGCACAATATACCTGCAACATTCTCACGGCCATTGCAGCAGCAGCTGGCTACGATTTCTATGACATCCGACGGCAATTGCCGAGCCCTGATCCCTCTGCGGCATATCAGGAGTACCTTAATTATGAATCCGTGCTAAAGGCTATTGGCGCGGCCGTAAACTACACCGAGAGCAATCGCTACGTCCAAGAAGGGTTCATCTCGACGGGTGACAGCATCCGAGGTGGCGCAGTGCAAGACCTTGCCGATCTGCTCAAGGCCGGTGTGCGTGTCGCTTTGATATACGGGGACGCCGACTTCATCTGCAACTGGCATGGTGGTCAAGCAGTAGCCTTTGCAGTCGCCAACGCCCTCCCAGCATACCCTTTTGCAACACGCGTATCATCAACCGGCGCCGGAATTCCACCAAGCTATGCATCAGGCTTCGCCCAAGCCGGGTTCGCAGAAATCGTCGTCAACGACTCCTACGTCGGCGGCGCAGTTCGACAATATGGCAATCTCTCTTTCAGCCGAGTCTACAACGCCGGCCACTTTGTTCCTTACTCCCAGCCCGAAACCGCCTTTCAAATCTTTGCCCGTGTGATCTTGGGTAACGACCTGTCCACAGGCGCAGATGTCGACCTTTCGACCTTCATTTCCTCCGGGCCCGCAAACTCCACGTATACGCAAAAAGCTCCTCCCGCACCTGACCCTACCTGCTGGGTCCGGAATTGGCAGAGCTCGTGCTCTGATGACGATACGGATGCTATGAAGGAGGGCAAAGGTCTGGTTTCGTACGGCATTTATTACCAAGATTCATCGAGCATCATCTTACCGAGTACAACCGTGCAAGCTGGAGTCCCTGGTAACCCCATGACTACCACCAGTAGCGGCACGAGAGGCGCGCACGGCGCCACCGATACAAGCTCCGCATTAACGGGAGTCTATACTGCTACAGGCACGCCAACACCAAGCGGAGCTGCAACGAGACTCGGTGCCGGTCTCGACTTTGGAAATGGACCGGGATCAATGTTTCTCGTGTTCGCTGGTGTCATCGCTGGGATGGCTGTCATGGTTTGAAGTGGATTGTTCTAGTAGATATGGTTTTCAAGATCTTGGTCTGGAGTTTTTCATGACATGGGAAAGGGGGAAAAAGTGTGATTCTTGGATCGGAGGCGTGTGAATGATACCCAATATCTACAATCGTAATGTCTGCATAGCATTAGTATAGCATAGGTTCGGGATGGGAAGGTGGGAAGGGAAGGTTAGAGCAGTGGCATTAAAAAGTTAGAGTCGTGATAGAGAAATGAGACGAATTGGCATCTTTGTCGTCGTCGCTGACTCGTGTCACGTGCCACGTGTATTCTGCTTGTAGATGTGCGTTGTGGTCTCACACATATCGCCCTCCGTCGATTCACCGCCTTTTCCGAGCCAGACGTGTATGGCATTGAAATAGAGTCCCCGTTCATTTCGTACATCCGTCCCAGTCTTTTAACATCCGGGATCGGGTCCAGGACATCCGGAGCAATCTACTTCGTCACAGCATTCTCTTTCTCTCCTCAATCATTCACTGGCACTCAACTCTTACACACTCTCGCCAAGATCCCTTTTGACTCATCAGGCTTGCGAGATGGCGACCAGTATGATGAACGCTGAGCTCGGCGAAGCTTGCAGGCGCCTGCAGTTACCGCTGCACCGCGACGTCCCTTGGTGTAGGAGAGCAAGAGAGACCTGCCTCTGGCGAGTGCAATCTCAAGGTAGGCATGATGAGGATGTTCTTCCTTCAGCTTGGAAGGAAACATGTTGCATTGCATCTCCATTATCACATCTTACGGATGAGCCATTGCTGAATGTGATCACACGATGTGTCTGCACTGATCTGCCCAGACTTGCCCAACTGCAATACCTGCCACTATGCTGTCAAGGTCGAATAGCAGCGCGGGAGAGCGACTCCGTCGAGCAAAGTCCATGTCCTCCACGCATACAGCAGCATCCGGCCAAGCACAGCGACTAGGCACGACCATCGCCGCTCAGAACACCCGTCTTCAAGCAGAGGTTGCAGCTGTTGAAGCTTACGAGCGTGCCCGACAACTCGATGAACTCAGTGCCTTTACTTCGAAGCCACGACCCAATCGACGACGGAGTCAGGCCTCTGGCAGGACCGAAGGAAGTCACTTCGAAGAAGCCAGGAGACGTTCAGTAAACCAGGCCGAGAACGTCAGGCCAAGGCCATCGAACGCATCATCTTTTGCGCAAAATCGAGCAAGTCTACCGAGCCAAACCAGAGTTGAGGCGTCGGACGAAGGAAGGGTCATTACCAGAAGTAGATCTGTTATACCGCCAGTGCCAGCCGCTACCGCTTCTAGCTGCAGTCGTCCTGCCTCAATTTCGGCCGCTCGTCACACCCGGCAAAGGCAATCAGTGGATACCGACGGCAGTCCAGCACCGCGTTACTCGCAGTGTGTCAAAGATCGACAGGCAACGCTGCAGCTGAGCACGCTGAGCAATGAAGTTACTTCTGAGGAAGGCACACCTTTCACCGCTCCTCGATCCCCGCCACGACCAGCAAGGCCGTCCATTCGAGAGACGCAAACTGATGAAGACATCAGAAACATGGCCACGAGCGCCTACCTACAGGATCTGGAGCGCAAAAGAATTCGCGAGCGCAGGTCTTTCATCTTCAGCAGTTTTAAGAAACGCCGTGCGACTGGCAATGCTTTTAACACGTCACTGCCACCTTTCAATTATGCTCACGATGGAGACGGAGCCCCGATGCCAACCAACTCCGCCATGCTCGCGCCTGCAATTGGGGCACAGACCAAATCTCGACATTTCTCCAGCTCAATCAAGAGTCGTATCAAGAATGCATTTCGCAGGACTTCTAGGGCTACAAGTAGTATGCCAGCTCAACACGTTCACGCAAAGGAGTTTCACTTCACTATCAAGGACTATGACCCGAGTGATGAGTCGCGTGGTTCTGTGGACTTTGCAGATCCTTTCATGACCATTGCCGCAGAAGAGCCCCGAATTGCTCCGCCCTCACCGCAAACTCGCCCAAACAGCAAGGTCAGCACCATCAACGATGGATCAGCGAAGTCGAGGGTCACGAGCTGGACCAATTCTACGGTCGCCGCGTTCTCTAGTATCCGCACTAATGTCGCTACGGCGCATCCCAAGGAGCAGTCACCGGCATTACACCGCACAGCTAGTCATCACACCTTGCGCAAGAAGAGCTCCTTCCTCGGCGGCCCTATCCGTGACAAGCTGCGCCGCGTGAGCAAGGCTGATCTTAAAGGCTCCGAGGAGAGCATGGGTCTGTATTCAGCTCTGCAGAGACGCATGAGGTCGTCGAAGTCCAGTGATCCCATCCACCAGCCACTGATATCCGCTCCTCTTGAGCTCGAACCAGGAAAGAACTCGGCGCAGACTCTTGATACTCGCGCAAGCCTGCCATCGCAGCGGTATCGACAGACTGACGACGCAAGAAGCGATTTCGACACCACAATCCGCAGCATTACGCCTGAGCCGAATCCATATGGCATTGACATACCTTCTCCAGTTCACGAAGTCACGAGTCCTGCACAGAGCAATGACGATATCGATTCCACGGTGCTTCACCATGCCGTGCATGGTTCTGGTGGCTCTTCGGCGCGGTCCGGCTTGCAGCGACGATCTGCTGTGAAAGCGCCTCCTCCTTCACAAGACGCTCTGGCTCGTAGAGTTGAGCGTGCTAGCAATAGATGGAAATCACCCCTCGACGAGCTCTCTCCATCCAACTCTCGGTCCACCCTCAGGATGTCGGAAGACAACCCCTATATACTGCGATCTTTGAGCCAAGCGGCCAAGCAAGTGACGCCGGTGAACGACTTGCCACATCATCGAAAGGCTGTCAATCTGCTTTCGCCGAGGTCGGACGTGATCTCACCAAGTGTCTACTCGCGCGCTACTGACGGCGCTTCTCCTCGGCCAGATTCGCCAGAAGTGTACGAGCCAGCGACAACTATCACCATCACCGGTCACGAGGTTCGCAGGTACAGCATCTCTCCGCCAAAGCGGATAGACGAGAAGCAACACCGTGGACATGGGAGCGGCACCTGGCGAAAGTGGCTCTCTGACGAAATGAATACCACCTTGGGCAGCAATGAGAAGCAGATTCGCCTTCCGCAGAGCATTTTCGTGAACCCTCCAGCACAGCGACAGGATTCTGGTGTATCTTCACTCACGGCGGTGCCAGGCCACAAGAGAAGCGTGGCCAGCATCACTGCCGAGCTTCGATCTGTGTCGCCTCTCTCGTTCCACAGCGAAAACCGACCAGCTTCACGCGCTAGCAGTCAGGTCTCCGACATGAATGGGAGATATCCTGTCATTAATGCGAGCAGGAATACCAGCCAGCATAGCATTGCGACAAGTCGAAAAGCTTCGCCGCCACCTCCTCCAGCAAGGCAGGACAGTTCGGAGGGCCGTCTTTTGCATTCTGTCGCCATGGCTAAGAAGCCAAGCATTGATGCTGCTTTGCACTCGACCGCGACTACTCGGGCAAGAGCCAATTCGAAGAGTGCTGGTTTGGGACAGATATCAGCTGCAGCACGTAGTCAAAGCGCTCTCGGGTCTCGACAGAACTTGAATGTTGAAGCAGCATCTGGAAGTGGTCGCCTTTCTGCCGCCAGCGCTACGTCGCCCGGCAAGGCATTTAGTCGGCCAAAGTCGGCGTACGAGCTGCGAGTGAACTACAAGAATAATGCCAATGCAGCATCGAAGCCACTTGAAGTCCGTCGCAAGGCGATCGAGAACGGTGAGAACAGCATGCTGGAGGACAGCACTTTATTCAATATCTCCGCGGGACCATATGCCGCACCACGATCGCCAAGCACTAATCAAGAGAATACTCGGCCAATGGACAGTCCTTTGCAGTCGCTGTCGAGCTCGGAATGGCTTGCTGCCGGATCAGGCAAGAAACGCGACGCTAGAAGATTCACTGCCAGTCCCGCGCATTCTCAAATCTACGGATCTTCTAGAAAAGAGCGTTCGCCTGGTCAGCGACTGGTCACGAATTGGTTAGATGAGAGGATGTCGAAGTCGCGTGAGAATTTGCAACCCTCGAAGGAAAGCACGCCTGCTTTTGTGTGATGTTTGTTGGAACAATACCCCCCTTTGGCTACCCTGCATGCACGTTGGACTATGATGTGATCATTGATACTTCGTCTTACGATGTATCATTAGCAAAGAGCTGTGCTAGTCTCTTGTGCCGGATGGTATTGACAGGCAATAGAATAAATAGTGAACTTCCCAATCGAATTCTATAGAGAGCTAGAGAAACCCCCAGGCGGCCGCTTTCTTTACAATCCCAACCAAGCCCTCCTCCAAGAGAATCTCGTTCAAAAGCAATCTTTTCGTATCGACATCGATGAAAGTTGACGCATTGCCTCTTTTGGAATGTGAGATGTCCAAGCGAGTTGCTGGGGCAACAATAAGGCATTTATGCATGAGCGCTGCCTTCAAGAAATCAAATGTGAAATGTTAATGACCTTTGCTCACGTAGACCTAGAAGCTTGACAAATGTGGGAAAAATGATGCCTACTTCTACTCGCTCGAAATCTAAGGCCCTTGCCTCGCACTCACGCCTCAAGGTAAATCCACCCATCACGACCAACGCAATCCAAAATTTCGATGTGGCCACCATCAGCGATGATGCAGACGAGACTTGCATCGTCGTTCATTCCCGATATCAATCTCTAGCTACAAAGTTTCTACAGCTTAAATCGGAACTGGGCTCGAAGTATGAGAAATCTCTCTATGCGGACATGTCTTGGAGACAACTCACTTCTCGTCTTATCGAGAAGCGACCGCTCGTTTTCATGGGCTCGTCTGATCATACTCTACTGCGCTCTGGTCGAAGCATCCGTCATCCTGACCAGCAGTGGGATCGAAACGGCACAGATGAGCAGGACAGAAATGAGGACCTCACGCTCGAGGAATACTTGAGCTACGACGAGATCATGCTTTCATCTCTCATCGGCGTCTCTGGACCTAGCTTCTTCATCAATGAGGGCGCGAGAAGCAATTGTGGGGTTCCGGGCAAAGCTGGGACTTTTGAAGAACGAGGAGTCATCGTTGGACTCGTGGGGGCTAGATTCGAGAGACCTGATCGAATGGACTCGGTGTTCATGCTTCCTCCTGTCAAAGAACCGAAACAGCATCCCGCGATTACGGAAGCATTTCTGGATTTCTTTCACGCGACAAGTCGTCGTTCTCCTGGAGCGGATTTCGATTTCGACGTCTATCGAGCTCGCATTAGGATCACGGCGGATATCTTACTTCACGAAGCTCATAGGCGGGCGGTAGAGGGGTTTTCGCAACGAAAGGCGTATGTGTATGTTGTTGGCCTGGGGCTTGGTGTCTGGCAGCACAACCTGGAGCAAGCCGGGACGTATGCACAAGCTTTCGCTGATGCCATTGTCGATCTGCCCAAAGACCATAGGGTTGGCAAGATCGAATTCGCCCACATCAGCCGAATCAGCGCTGCCGCTCAAGAACAGCTCGTTTCGATGGGCCAGCGTTGCGGCATTGAGATTGTCTTCTCGAAACGCAATCCTGCGGCAAAGCTGCACGGGAAGGATGGCGACATGCTGTTGGTTCTCAGCTACGCATGGGATGGCAATGCATTTCCGGGTAATGAGTACTGGCAAGGCAGCCTGATGGGCTCAGGTGATCCAGTGAGTCCACGCTCTGCGCTCAGCGCCATGGCTGCGGTTGCAGTCGACTCGAATGCATGCTGACTCGCGGGTCTCTTCTGTCTAGGCCGCGGCGTGTATGAGCACGATCGGGGAACTGCACAATCCATTGGTCAATGTGGGCTTCACGGAGAGGATCGCAGGTGCTGGTGTGGGCAGTAATGAGTAGCAGAAAGTCTTACATCTCGGTTCCTTAGCGATCGGGTGCAAGGTACCACCCGCGGAACAGTTCCAGGCAAATTGCTAAGAATTATACAATACCGCGTGCTCGGCCTTTCGCTGACTGAGCTGATGCACATCCCGACACCATGCAAGATCTGAAGTCACTTCGGGAGAATGACGGGGGCCTGATCCCAATGCCGCCTGACAATCAGTCGCTACTCTCTCCTCAGTTCTAGAAAGCCATGGCGACAGTCAGCGATTTGCAATGCATAGCCTAAGCCCAACGCGCATCGTGCTCGCTCTATCCGCACTTGTCCTCGCATATTTATTCACCCTTCTGCCCCTCCACGAAGCAGACAGCATGCAAGCACCCCCACTACTACTAAACAGACTTCTCCCGACCTCACTCCCACTCAGAGCACGAGCCGTACAAAACGCCCTCCTGGCACCTCTCCCACAGCCCACCAAACCTCTTCCCACCCGCACCTTCACCTCCACCATGCCAGGCTACGACTCCCTCACCTTCAAAGACGCCATCAAGAACCGTCGTACAATCTACAGCCTCACCAAGAAATCTTCCATCTCAGACGACCGCATCAAGGAAATCGTCACCCAGGCCATTCACGATGTCCCTTCCTCTTTTAACTCCCAATCCGCACGTCTCGTCGTCCTACTCAAAGAAGAACACGACAAGTTCTGGGACGTCGTGACTACGATCCTCAAAGCTCACGTTCCGGAAGATAAATGGGAACATACCGGACAGAGGATGGAGATGTTTCAGGGTGCTTATGGCACGGTAAGCTTTCTCCCCTCCCCCATTCAAGAAAGAAGAAGGAAAGAATTGTTTTTTAACTAATTCATGTCGTCTTAGATCCTCTTCTACGAAGACCCCGAACCCGTCAAAGCCCTGCAATCCAAATTCCCCAACTACGCCGATAAATTCCCTCAATGGTCGGAACATACTTCCGCCATGCATCAGTATGAGCTTTGGACTGCTTTGGAGGCTGAGGGGCTGGGTGCCAATCTTCAGCATTATAATCCGTTGCCGGATCAGAAGGTGAGTGAGATTTGGAATGTGCCGTTGGAGTGGAGTTTGAAGGCACAGCTTGTGTTTGGAGATCCGGCGGAGGGATCGAGGGAGAAGTTGGCGGAGAAGAAGCAGGAGCCGGTTGAGAAGAGGGTTTTCTTTCATGGGGCTTAGAGCATAGATACTAGAAGGGGATTGGGAAGTTAGACGCTTGACGATGTTCGCAGTTCTACGTCTGCTCAACTCCTAGCCGCTTTGACATTCACCTCAAGAACTTTGACAGCATCTCTGACTTTAGGATCCCAATGCTTCCTCAACAACTCGCCCTCCCACGCTGTGCTGGCGAACGGATTACTGCTTTCAACTTCTTCGCTCAGAGCATTAAAGACGCCATCGCCTTTCCTTTCTTCCGTGTACCAGAGCGCTGCGACTTTCTTGCCGTGAATCTTCGTCACACTTTTCAACAGCTCTAGAACTGCGATCGCAGATTTCTGTGGGACGTGCAGAGATAACGTCATGAGCTGTCGAATGTAGGCCGCCACTCTCGCTGGAGGTACGGATTTCGTATTCGTGGGCGGGAGGAGGATGCTTTGTAGGCATCGAAGGAGCAGGACCGTCGTGGTCGAGACATTGACTTTGTTTGACGCTGTTTGCGGAATTGTGAGGCCATTCGGGTCGTGCAGATGTGATGCTTTTGATGCCGAAAGCTCGATATTTGGGTCCATGCTGAGTGGGATCAAGGTCTGGTAAAGGTGTTTGACGAAGAATGAGAGATCGAGCGATAGTGCGTTGGCTGATTTCGCGACATCGACTTGGCCTTGGAGCAGTGCAAAGGCTGTGATGATGCAGAGGAGGGACTCGCGAACGATGTTACGCTGAATGTCATCATCGAGCTCATCGTCGTCCTCTTCTTCGTCCTCGGTAGGCTGAAGAGCTGCTTCGGCTTCTCGGATGAGATCTTTAAGCACTTCCAGTACATCGCCGAAGAAATCTTGGTTGATGAGATGGCTGTACTTCGCCAAGCCTTCCAATACAGCTCCCATCAAGTGCTGCACTCGTTCCTTGAGAATGCGGAAATATGCCACGAAAACCAGCTTGAGCGTCTCAGCTTGATTCTTATCGCGCTCTTCGTAGGATACTGCCGCATCTGCCTCCTTCAATTCCTTCTCGACCTGTTTCCGTTCCTTCATCACCTTTCGTTCGCGCTTCGTCCGGAACTCCTTTTTCTGCTTTGGCTTCTTGCCATTCGTCTGTTCGTCTTGATCCTTGTCGACGTGATTTGGAGCAGCCTTGTGGGCAAATTCGCCCAGCAGTCGCAGGTGCAGAAACGTGTTTAGCACACCTTCATGAATGGCATAATTCTTCGTCTTCATCATCTTCGTCAATTGAGTCACCACATCGAGCGATACATGGCCTTCGTCGTCTTCTTGAAAAAGCTTCTCGATCGACTCTTTGCACTTGACAAAGTCGGCGTCAACGTTTCTCGCACCTAGCTTCTTGACCAGAATTCCAATGAGATCTCCACGATTGTTGAAATGCGGCACCGTGTTCAGCAGAGTGCATGCGCAAGAAATTGCCACACTTGCCAGACCGCTTGCTGATTTCTGGTCCAAAGTCTTGCTCGCCTTTGCGACTGCTAGGCTGGACAGTGTCGAAATGTAGTCTTTATAGCCATGCAGCAGACCTTGTTCAAAGGTTCTCAATCTCTTCACATCTTTTGACACTTTTGCTTCTCGGTCCTTCTCGCCCAAAGGTCTTATGCGATATCCCGGAATTATGTCCTTGAACACTGCGAGCTGTGTCGCCAATGCCAGCTTCTTGACTGTGACATTGTCTGATTGCGTATACTCTGCCAATGCTCCCAATTGACCAATATGCTCTTCTGGATCTTCACTCAACGACTGCGCTAGACGTGCCAATTCTTCCTTGGCGAGCCGTATCTCCTCCTTCGGTGGTAATCGAGGCTTCTTTGGTTTCTGCTCTTTTGGTTGCATATCTGCTACAACCCCGCTGTCCGCGTCTTCGTCACTGGCCAAAAAGCTGCCGGCATCATCTTCTTGCTCCGGCTCAACATCTGCTCGCGGATTCTCCACCACGCGACCATCGGCAGTCTTGATGGCAAGTTTGTCCTGCTTCTTATCCTTCTTTTTCCTGTTCGCCAAACGCTGCGCATAGTCTGCCTCAAGATCATAGCTCGCAAAGCCCGGAACTGATGCCCCATCTTCAGACGGACTCAGCCTCCTCTTCTTGGCCGCGCGCTCGGCCATGCTTTGTGATATCGTTGCTGCGGCATCTCGGAGCAGAGTTGCGATCAACTTTTTCCAGATCGACATTGCCAAGAGTCTGGGGTTGAACTCTATCTATTACCCTAACTTTTCACATGCAACGAGACTTTTGTCTTGACATTTCTCTCACTCATTGCACATAGCTTCCCGCCAACAATGCGCCCTCTCACCGACACAGAGACGAAGACCCTCTTCGAAAAACTTGCCAACTACACTGGCAAATCGCTCAACAACCTCATCACCGAAACTGTCAACACTCCAAACTCGAAATCACCCGACCGCTATGTATTTCGCGTGCAAAAGGATCGCGTCTACTATGTGCGCGAATCGATAGCAAACCTCGCAGTCTCAGTCGCGCGCGATAGCTTGCTCAGTCTCGGGACATGTTTGGGAAAATTCACGAAGACTGGCAAGTTCAGATTGCACATCACTGCACTAGATGTGATTGCGCCGCACGCAAGATATAAGGTCTGGGTGAAGCAGAATGGAGAGATGCCATTCTTGTATGGTGGACATGTGGTCAAGGCGCATGTTGGTAGATGGAGCGAAGATGCGCCTGAACATGCCGGAGCTGTGGTGTTGAGCATGAATGATACGCCGCTGGTGAGTTGAGCATTTGATAGGCCGATCCATTTCGGTGTGCTAATGTTTGGCTAGGGATTTGGCGTGACGGCGAGATCTACGGCAGAGGCACGCAAGCTGGATCCGACTGGAATCGTCCTCTTCAGGCAATCGGATGTAGGAGAGTATCTGCGTGAGGAGAACACACTTTTCGCAACGTGAGCAGCAAGAGTTCGCAGGATGTGCAGAAAGACTCGAACTTCATGGCCGTCTTGAGAAGATTTTCATCATCAGGGAATGATCCAACCCTGCATCAAAGGGAAGGACATCGAGCACGGTTGTGCAGGCCTCATAGTTCGGCGCAGCAGTCATGTAGCTTGGCCTGCCCATTCATACGGCACTCAACAACCTGAGATGACTCTGGGATGATAGAGAGCGCCGGACAGGACGTACGGCAATTGACGTGGTCACATGAGCAGTGTACGACCAAAATGATGCACTGCTAGAACGCTTGCCAGGGGAAGAAGAGGAGGGAGGGAATGCGAGCGCGAAGATCGATGCTGCCGAGACACAATCTGGCCCGAAAGCCTTGAAGCAGATTTCCACCCAATTCTATCTCTTCGAAATCGTTCCAACCACTTCTCGATCATATCCATTGGCTGTCCGCACCTGTACCTCTTTATCACAACGAAGCTGTCCCACTTCTAGACTGTTTAAGACTTATTAGTGCGAAATTCCGTGACTCGGTCCGTCACCAGGTCGCTGGAAGCACCAGATCCGCCCTGGATTCCTTGATTGCTGCATACTTCGCAGAAAGGCAGTCGGCTTGTGGCCCATGTGAGAATGAAAGATGCCCTGACACGCCCAGCTTTGGAATCTCACCTATGCTGCCATGAGGCGAGTTTTGACAGAAGATTATTTCCACGGCGCGCGTTGCTCCGGGCTCTTTCGGCGAATTTCCGTGACTCGGACCGTCACCAAGTCACTGGAAGCACCAAAACCGCACTGGATGCCTTGATTGCTGCATAGTCCGCGGAGAGGCAGTCCGCTTGTGGCTTCCCCAGAGTAGCTTCAAGAGGACCCGTCTTCATTCTGAAGAACCTTTAAGCCTCAGAAAGTCGAAAATGCAAAAAGGTGGGTGCGCATCTTCGTTGCTTGATCGTAGCAGACAAGAGCGAATTGGTAGATGACTTCGCCGCAAGAGTCGCGGATTTCCCAAGGCAATTGAAAGCAGAGCTCGAACTTCGAAACGAAAAGCTGCAGGACGAGACTTCGCCTTTGCATCAACTGTCACCAGAAATGCGCAATGTCATCTACCGCTTAGTCCTCGTTGAAACAGATCCGATCGATATTACCACCACCACCACAGGCGAGCCAGGATTGTTGAGAAGCTGCTGGAAATTCCGCAATGAGGCAGCAAAGATATACTACCGAGAGAATTCGTTTCACATCACGGTCCAAGATTGTGCCGCTCAGACTCTCATTGCTTGGTCAGGCGCTTCGAAGCTTCACCGATATGCGAGACTCTTGGTCTCGCTGACTGGCGCACCGAATTGGGACAATCTGAAGCAATGAATGCAAGCGATCTTTGAGCGAGACTATATAAGTTTACCAGTGTATGTACCACAGCCTGGACAGAATGGCCCAATGGTGGGGATGAGACGAGCAGTTGGGCAGGCATTTCGAACGATTATGAACTGGAAGTCGAAGCAGAATTTGGATTGGAATACGGCTAGCAAGATGCTTGCCGAAACGAGAGATATGATGGCTATTGTGGATGATCGCTGGAGCCAGTGGCGAGTCGAAATCGAATTTAAGATCACGTGCCATCGTGTCATTTCTGCCAAGCATCCAGGCAGGCAGTCGCGTGTCGATCCAACGTCACTTCTTGACATCGACGTTCATCCATCGATGTTCTCCTGCCTCGTAAGTAAATTGTACAGTAGCTATCGAGCGTCGTAACATTGCAAGCTGGCACGCAGTCTACGATCACTCAGTTCTGTTCTTGCTTTGAAGTCGACCAGGCCCGCATCTCTACCTTGCTTTGGAATCCACCGTGAATACTTCAAAATGTCTTTGAGACGATCGACTCGTGTACAAACAAAGCCGGGCACGGAACATGTCGTTCCAGACGAGGTCACTGTTTCTAAAATTGCGGCGAAGAAACGTGGTCGCAAGAGCACAGGAGATGCAGTCAAATCGGAAACGACAAATGGCGACTTGTCGCAAGCAGAGCTGGACTCCCAGACAATGCCTCCGCCTTCAACACCAGCAAATAAGCGAAGGAAGACTGCACAAGCAGCTGTCACGACACCAGTACCTTTCACACCTACGCCATCTGCCATCGGACTGATGACCAGCACCAGCAATCTGCGACAGAATTACAGCACAGGAGACATCGACGACGCTTCGCCTCCACCAACAAGACCAGCCGAACCTCATCATACAAATGCGACACTTGTCACGCCCGGAGGGACTCAGGTCCCACCAACATATTCGAACTTTGAAGACTCGCCTTCCAAGAAACCAACAACGACCACGAAAACGATCCTGGACGATGCCTGCAAACATCTCATTTCAGTCGACGAAAAGCTCAGGCCTGTGATCGAGAAGCATTACTGTCGCATATTCAGTCCAGAAGGTTTAGCTGAGCAAATCGATCCTTTCCGGAGCTTGACAAGCGGGATTATGGCCCAGCAAGTTTCCGGTGCAGCAGCGAAAAGCATTAAGAACAAATTCATCAGCCTTTTCCCAGCAGAGGCATGTCCGAATGGCTTTCCGCCTCCAAGTATCGTAGCCAAGACTGATATTGCGACATTGAGAACGGCCGGTCTCAGCCAGCGGAAGGCAGAATACATCCAAGGCCTGGCGCAGAAATTTCATTCCGGGGAGCTTTCCGCGAAAATGCTAATGGAGGGTTCCGACGAGGAAGTCATGGAGAAGCTCGTAGCTGTTCGTGGCCTCGGAGCTTGGAGTGTAGAGATGTTTATGTGCTTCGGTCTAAAGCGTATGGATATCTTCAGCACCGGCGATCTTGGTGTGCAAAGAGGCATGTCAGCATTTGTAGGACGAGATGTCGCTAAGCTGAAAGCGAAGGGTGGTGGCAAATGGAAGTATATGAGTGAGAAGGATATGTTGGAGATTAGCGAGAAGTTCAGACCCTATAGGTGCGTAGCATTCGACTCCGAGGAGAGGAAGCGATCCTGTGCTGACAGATCTTCAGGAGCTTGTTCATGTGGTACATGTGGCGGATAGAGGATGTGAATGTTGATGCTGTACAGGACAATGCGGAGAGACCTGTTGATGCGTAGATGCGCGTTTCGCTGCTGAGGATAACAGGACGTTCATCATGTGCGGCATCAGCTGTTCACGGGTACTGGCGTACTGTAATTTTTACCGTGTTGTTGTGTGTGTTCGAAAAGCTGTGCGCGAAATCAGCAGAAACAAGCTCGTCGCTTCCATTTCGTGGAAGCATGTCTGGGCAAGCATGAGGAAACAGAAAACTCCCGGGCTGCGATTTGCGGATCACAAGACTGAAACGCTGCTTTCATGGTGCATATGTAGTCAGGCCTGTAGACCGCCTTCTCAAAGCTCTTTCTTGCTCCCTTCTGACGTAGAGGCACTTATAGGAGCCATCTTGACCTTTTCCCCTTCATTCGCACCAGTCTGAACTTTTCCCTGCTGCAGTGTCCAAAGCGCAATGATGCCTTCGCTAACCATACCGATAACGCTGCCACATGCAATTGCCCAGACATTGACGCTGATGCTTCCTAAAGGTGCTCGCGGGAAGGAAAGCAGCCACTCAGCGTGGTACGGTACCCATCCCGTCGGTAGCCAGAACATAGGTTGCTTCGCATACCAGCTGTTGAGGAAGAAGTTGAAGCCCTGAGTTCCTAGCCAGCGAAGCTTGGAGACAATGCTGTCGAAGGTGGAGCGGAAGGCCTGCTGGTCGCGAGCTGAAATTTGTCAGTACGCGCCGCATTCGTATAGATTTATGTTTGCAATCGCACATTCTTTCTCATACTTCTCCTTCGCCTTGTCATGTTGCCTCCTCAGCCTAGCCCATTTCGCGAAGTCGTCTTGCGCAGATACTGCGTTTAGCTCCCGCTTCAGTTTGACAACCTCTCTCTTGAGCTTCGCATTTTCCTTGTCTTGTTTCGCTTGCTTGCTGGGCAAGAGTGTGAAAAACCACCAGGCCTGGTCCTAAGTTAGCTTTTGCCTGACTTCTACTCCCTCACATCATTATTACTATATCGTTGACGGCCTGGGCGCCGATCGAGCTGATCAGGTTCAGCAATAGCTGCACCACAAATATGAGCAGTATGACCGAAGGCATTGCGAAAGACTTGTCGGCGTTCGATTCGGAGGTTTGGCGCTCGAGCGCTGGATCATATGCCGTGTTGCCGTCTCTGTACAGGCCTCGGTGTGTGGCACTGTGTGCCTGTATGCCTATTGCATGGAGTTGTAGGCTAACGAGTCATCGTGGTTTGTGAGAGGATGTGGTTGTTTTCTTGACTCGTGTGCAAGTTCGCGATCTGCATGTGACGTCGCCGTCAACCCCTGCAAGACCACCCCACGACCTCGAGCACTCTGCAGTGCTCCTCCTGAGCTTTTGTTCCTGAATAATCACAACACATTCAATGGTCATACACAATGCCTCCCAAAATCGACCCTGATGTCGGCTGTGTCATACCAGAGCCAGGTGAATGGCCGGTGGACCCTCAGGAAGACATTCCAATCAAAGAAGATCGATTGTGGATTGATGGCTGCTTCGACTTCTTCCATCACGGTAGTGCTCCCTCAGAACGAAAGACACCTTTCGAAGAACCGATAGCTGAGTACAGCTATGTATTGTAGGCCATGCCGGCGTCATGCTCCAGTCACGCCGCTTTGGCGACGAGCTTTGGGTCGGGCTCCATAACGACGAGGAGATCGCAGAGAACAAAGGCCCCACTGTCATGAATCTGGCAGAGCGTGTAGCTGCTGTGGATGCATGTAGATTCTCCACCAAGTGTGTACCACACGCACCGTATGTGACCTCAATACCATGGATCAGTCATTATGGCTGCAAATACGTGACACATGGAGACGATATTACGAGCGACGCGAGCGGGAACGACTGCTATCGATTTGTGAAGAAGGCTGGCAGGATGAAAATTGTGCCGAGAACACCAGGCATTAGCACGACTGATTTGGTCGGTCGAATGCTGGAACGTACGAAAGACCACTTCATCAAGAGCCTGATCGACTGCATCAACGGGCAGGAGGGACCAGGAGATGAAGCGGAACGATTGGAGCAAGCAGAAGAGATGGCGAAGAGAATACGAGAATATGCTGCAGCCCCGAACGGCAAAGACCCATTTGTCGAAGTCTGGAGCTACAAGCCAGAGCAGCTGCTGAATGGCAGTAGAAATGGTCTACCACCCAGCAGGGCAGCATATACCAAGATCGTTTCGGGTACGCCACCACGAGCTGGACAGCGGATAGTCTACGTCGACGGCGGCTTTGACCTGTTCTCATCTGGTCACATCGCATTTCTGAAACTTGTCTCGAAACTGGAAGAGGACCATGGCCATGACAGTGGCTGGTATACCGAAGCTGCCAAGCAAAAGCGGATCTCTGACTCAGGCGAGGACTACCCGCCGGCGTACGTGATAGCTGGTGTACACGACGATGAAATTATCAACGCACACCGTGGCGTCAACTATCCGATTATGAATGTGTTCGAGCGAGGACTTTGTGTGGTACAGTGCACATACATTCATGCCGTCATTTTCGGAGCCCCGTACAAGCCCACCAAAACGTACCTCGAGAGTCTGTCCGGCAAAGCACCGGATGTAGTATACCATGGACCGACTGCATTCATGCCGCCGAGCAATCTCGAAGGCGATCCGTATGCAGACGCCAAAGCTCTTGGCATTTTCCACGAAACCGGGAAGCATGACTTTCAGGATGTCAACGCAGAACATATCGTGAAGCGAATTCTGGCTCGACGTGGCGACTACGAAGAGCGACAGCGAAAGAAAGGCGCGAAAGCTGTTGGTGAAGAAGCTCACCGGCGCCGCGAAGAGTTGGAGCAAGAAGCGGAACTAGGGAGACAGCGGAAGCTGCAGCGGAGCGTGCAATGAGGGATTGCATGGTGCGGTGAGATACCCAAATATTGTACAGAGTCTCTGATCCAGACAGATTCGTATCCAATTGAAACATCGTCATTCTACCACTACGGTGTCCTGTAAGTAAGACCGGGCAATATTGATGAGTATCTATATATCAGCAACTCCAGGGGTGGCACGGACGTGGCACGGGCCAGTCGGAGTTGCTAGCAACTCCAGCGCTACTAAGCCCCGCTAAACCTTATACAAATCGTAGTCTTAGCAAACCTATATCTCTACTGTTCCTAAATTCCTCCTATATTTCCTATTCTATATCGCCTATATTATATAACGGCTACTAACGTCTACTAATATAGACGTATCTACACCTAGCGACGTCGCCGACCTTAAGAAGCTTCGATAGCGCGTTTTTACCCTCGAAGAGGATATTAAGACGGATATAGAAGGCTAGAGACTAATATAGCGCCTATATAGCAATTAATATACTAAAAGGTCGACTAAGAAGCATAGCAAACCTAACCTAGAAACAGGACTATACTATAATAAAGTGTATTACTATTATATAGAGAAATAGCGCCGTAATAAGCTTAATCGAGAAGCAGTAGATATTATAGATAGACGAGTCTTTAAACTACTAGAAGAAGAGTATTAGATTAGCTTTATTATCGAGATTAAATACCGCTAGAATGTAGCTACTAGAAGGGTTAGTATTCGTCGCTATATAACTACTAATATATATACCTATAACCTAGACCTTCTCGATAGCCGGAAAGTGTATTAACTAGTTAAAGATAAGGTTAAGAAGCAAATAGATAACTCGCCGCAGGCGAGAAGGACTTATAATGCGATTAATAGCTAATATAGTAGCAATCTCGGTATCCCTTATCTAGATATTAGTTTACTGCATAATGCCGCTAAGCACTCGCCCTATTACAATTAAGACAAGCGCTTTACGACGACGGACGAGCGAGGCGATATAGAGCTTTAATTATAGGGCATTATTATAGTAGTAAAAGAGCACGGTTTGCATTACTAATCCTTTAGCGTACTAACTAAGGATAGTATTAGAAGAGGCGTTATATAGGCTTTAGAAGAGGGCATTTAGCTATTAAAGAAGTATAGCAAATTAGTGCTTCTAGACGATATATACGAGGTTAACTAACTCGACTAGAAGTTGTTTAATATCTATATTTCTAACGACAATATACGCTAGCGACCAGTTGCTTACGCACTCCTTAAAAGCAAGCATAGTCCGGTCTATATACAGGCATTGTATTATCTAGCTTCTTAGGCTAACTATAGTAAACCTAGTAGCTAGTTATTGCTATATACGGTTACTAATAACTCGGCTTTAGAACAGATAGCAATATAATAGATATTTCTATAGTATAGGACCTATCTCTATATAAGACACTTACTCTAGACCATCCGCCGCAAATTTCTACTTAAAGGACTATATAAGAAGGTCTACGAGAAGCTAGTATAGGTGTCGTTATACGCAGAGACTAAACAAGAGGTTGTAGATAGAGTATAACAAGCTATTAACGCTCTGCCGCGAAGCAAGAACGACGAGTTGTACTCGTATCTGTTACGAGAATAGTCTATCGAACACGCTTAGATATAGACGGTTAGAGAACGGAGGAACAACCCCCTATTAATGCAGGTAAGAAGGCTATATTGTCCTCTTCTAACCGATTTTACTAACCTTCGTTATTTAGGCGCGTACTACTAATCTAGTCGAAGCGTACTACGCGGATTTTAAGAGTAATACAAGGTCTATTAAGGCTAACTTCTCGCTCGCCGGCACCCTTATATATACCCTTAATATCGATAAGAGATAGAATAATAACGCAAAGAAGGAGGCGGCGAAGGATAATATGCTCTATATCTTTACTAGACTGTAAGGCTCTTATAAGCGCTTCTGTAAACTGCTATACTGCCTTCAAACAGCTATTACTAAGCAATATCGACTAGCTTAGAAGAGGGCTAATTCAGGTCTTCTAAACTAGATACGATATTAACTACAACTCGACAACTAACTCCCCGATATATGCTAGTGCTTCTTCTAGAAGTAGTAGTACTAACCGTATCGCTATATTTAGTACGATTAAGAGATTCTAGGCGATAGTATAACCGCGAAGCAGGTAGATTGCTATATTAACCGTTTCTTCGACCCTAAAGGCTTTAATAGTAATATTAACTCGCCGAAGACTTATAGCGAGTAGCTCGTAGACGATAACAACCCTATCGAAGACAATAATAATAAGGAAGTTAATAGTATTGCTAGTACTATCTCGAAGGACCGCTACCTTCTAATTCGTAGTCTTATCGAGAATATTACTTACGACTACTATTAGAAGGTTAAGAAGGCGGAAATAGTAGTGCCGGCGCACCTATTATTAACCTACCGAGACGATATTACTAAGTAGTATTATACTAAATATATACGCCTCTCGGCGGCGGCAGAGCTATTATAATAGCTCTAGCAATATTAATAGCGATACAAAGACAGTACCTTGTTTGCTATCTAATAGGCGTAGGTTAATATAGGCGTAGGCGCCTTACTATCGATTAGTCGCGTTTAAGAGACAGTCTACCTATAGCAACAACCTTACTACCTATAACGACCGCCGCCGGTAAGGGACCTATTTACGCTAGGCATAGCGACTTAACGCGTACTAGAGTATACAGCGACTAGTCTCTATACTAATTAGTATAGAAACAGTTACTACTATCCTCCGCCGTCGTTCTAGCCGCCTCCGCCGTCGTAATTCGAGCCTACGTAGGTTACTAACTCGGTACTTTAGAATATATACTACGTAGGCGACGGCACCTATCGATATAGTATATCTTCCTTAAACGACGGCAGTTTAATAGACGTTATACGCTAAGTCCTTTACTAATAGCGCCTTCTATTTGCGCCTACTATACTAAGCGGTCTTCGCTATTTAATAGTCGTCGCAAATATACCGATATTATAGCTATTAGACCTGCGATAATATATACTATAATAGTCGCTGCTAATCGATATATTACAACTTAGTAACTAATAGGTACGCGTGTTTATTAACGACCGGCGATTCTTACTAGAAGACTAGCGGCGGCTGTTTAATAGTAGGACTTTTAGTAGTAATCTATATAATAGAGGTAATAGCGGCGGCGGTAATAGACAATATAATAGAGGCAATAGCGGCGGCGGCAATAGACAATAAGGTAAGAGCAAGTAGATATACCTCGGATTTAGCGCAACGGCTATACTATACGTTAACTTTAGCTTTATTAAGTTATCGCTAGCGACCTTCGAAATTACTATATTCCTAAAGCCCTTTCGAATTTGAAGCACATTTCAACCAATTTCATTAGGGGAGTTGCTAGCAACTCGAAGTGGGGGGTAGGACCGGGGTAAAAGTGGGTCAAGCCAATCAGCGCGAGTTGCTGATATACAGACACCCATATTGATCTCTTGCTGTTTGCATGGGCACCTGCAGCTCTTCTTTCGCCAAGCCTGGCGCCTGAAACTCGTGCCAAGCACCAACGGCACTGCAGCATCCCGCCAGGAGTCATCTCGAACCGATCTTGCCCTCCGCACAGTACACCTTCGCTCCGACACTATATCATTCCATCCGCAAGCATGACAGACATTTCAGCTCCCTCAACGGGAGAAGCTGGAAAGACGACCGCTGGCACGTCTCAAGATCCGGCGCCCATTAATCTCGAAGGGCAATTGCTTGCGGACCTCAAGTCGTCTCTTGCGACTCACGCTCGATCTGCAACATTTGCCTGTGGCGGCAGCATCTTAATTGCCACAGCGGACACATCCGTGAACGATACTGAGGAGTCTGGCCCGGTCAATGCGCCGGTCCAGGTTCGCTTTGGTGACAGCGGCAAGGGTGTTACAGCTATTTTTCCCGGGGACCGAAACAACATCTTCTGACTTTCAAGCACTCCTCAGCGCCTGCCAGCCTGCCTCATTTGGTCGTGGCGGAGATGAAGTCCACGATGAGGAGTATCGGAAAGCTGGCAAGTTAGACCGATCTGCTTTCGCCACTTCCTTCTGCCCGTACGAAGCAGGCATTATTGATGTTGTCGGCCAGCTTTTACTGCCACAAACGAAGCACCTGAAAGATAAGAGAAGCATCAAGGCCCAGCTCTACAAGCTCAACATATACAGTGGGCCTAACGGCAAATTCAAGGCTCACGTCGATACTCCGCGCAGCGAAGAACAACTTGGCAGTCTGGTCGTTTCTCTGCCTGTTGCTCACGACGGCGGTCAACTGGCCGTACGTAATGCTGGACAGGAACTCATCTTCGACTGGTCCCAAAAATCTGGCGCACCTGCTTACATTGAACGGGCAGCCTTCTATAGTGACTGCGAGCACGAAGTGTACGAGGTTACCAGTGGACATCGCGTGACGCTCACCTACAACCTCTTCATGACTCGTAAGTACTTGATTAATTGGTGAAATCTTACTCTAACGTGCTGCAGGCGGTCAAGGTCACCTTGCTGGCAGTGCGTCTGCTCTCGATCCCTGGCAACTGCCACTCTACAAACAGCTCTCGGCAGCTCTCGCCGATCGCAATTTCTTCCGTCATGGTAAGCCATACCGCCATCTCCAAGTGAAATGCGCTGCTAGTAACACGTCGTACAGGTCGTGTTCTTGCCATCTGGCTTACCCACAGCTACGCTCACACGAACAAGCACATCAACTTTTTGCCAAGCTCACTGAAAGGTGCAGACATGTCCCTCTACGAAACCGCTGGGGCCCTGGATCTGTGCTGCATCGTTGGCCCAGTCATTCCGAACCGCGGATACGACTACGAGACTGGAGCTGAAGTCGATCTTGTCAGCGGCAAGTTCTTCTCATTCAATGCTGGTGACACTCGCAGCGGCAATCTTGACCAAGAAAATTCCATCGGCTTTGGTCAATCAATGCCTGCGGGAAAGGTCACTTGGGTTAATCATAGCACGCCGGAGAAGATTAGTGCCGGTAAGAACAAGGTCAAGATCAAGGATGGTCTGAAGGAGCTCAAGGAGCCTCAGATGGCGTACGTGACTGTAGGTGCTTAGAAGACCTACACATGCATAAAGGGCTGGCAAGGCTGACATAATTCAGTACGGCAACGAGCCTGGCATCGCAATCCACTACTCTCGAGCTGTCATGCTTATTCGCATTCCTCCTTCTCGAGACCGTGGCTCGTCCGTAGACAATTCGAGGCGCTTCTGGGACGGTATTAGAGATGACCACGACGAGGAGTACGAAGACAGCGATTGCAGTGGTGAGCACGAGAGCAACGACAGCAAGAAGCTGGAGGACGAGAGCAACGACAGCAAGAAAATGGAGGACAAGCGTGAGCCGCAGGGCACTGATGAGGGGATGGTGAACTGAATGGCTTCATATATAAGTCACACTGACACAAACCAAATCCGGACAAGGAGAAGAGACCTTCGGCAACTGTGAACTGGGCATTGGAACTTTGAATGACTGGTAAGATGCTACAAAACTTGGCTTCGCGCAAAATTTCTCGCCATGTTCTTGACCAGATGGAATCCAAACGCAGCAATACCACCCAATTGAAGGCTCAACGTGCACAGGGTATTTTGCCTCAGCATATATTATCGGGCTCATAGCCAACATGCACCCCTCCATTGTCCGGGGATGAGTAAGTAGCATTGTATCCATCAACTCCTTCCAGAACGCATGCAGTCCAATCACCGCCTTGCGTGCACACGAGGCCAGGAAAATCTGCGCCATTCACAGCCACTGTCAAGTTGTTGCGTTCCTGACTTCGATAGCTGTGGTATCGGACGACATCAAGATCGAAGTAGCCGATGCTGTTGTACGTATCGGGAAGTACGCGAGTCCAGAAGGTCGAAAGACCGCCAGAGGTATGGCATTGGGTGTAGCATGATGGTGGGCTACTTCCAGTCCTGAGAAGCCGGTAACATGTCAGTACAGAGTGAGGAATGGAAAGAGATTGGGAGCCTTACCATTCAATGAGACAGTCGAATGGATCATTGCCGCCAGACGAAGGTACGCCTTTGGGAGTTGAGACCGTGAATGAGATGTTATGGCAATGCAGTTCATCGTGCAGTTCGACCGATTCCCAATTTGTGAGGAAAAAGAAGTTGGTTTGCGCAATGCATGTCGCTACGAGAGCTAGAATTGTGCTCAATATGGCGGAAGGCATGGCTGATGTGCTTTTCAGGATGGACGGTAAAGCTGCTCAAACGTAAAAGAGCAGGACTTGGAGACTATAATATATCATGAGGCCGCACGAGCCAGGGATGCTGGCCAGCTCCCAAAAACTACGCCACTGTGTATGGGTCGGCCGGATCGAGACTCGCGAAGTGTTAAAGCAATATGGAAATCTTCTTCTTCAGCTGAGCTTCTCGGTTGCACAAGACACCAGATCTGGCAATGAGAGTGGACTCTTTGCATGCCTGCCAAGATCGGTACTACTATGTTCACAGGCTAGAGAAATTTTTCAAAGCCACACGAGATCTGAACTAATCTATAATTAGCCGATGCTTTCTATAATATGACAACTCAACAAAAAACGGGGCCCCTTTAGGCTTAGTGCGGCTCAAAACGACCTAAAAGCCGACTCTAATTAGTCGGCGGCGAGGAACGTTAAAATTCCTCGATTCTCGCGCGGTCCGGAGGGCGTAGTAGTCGCCGTATCGACTATAATGCTCCGGCGCCGTAATCGTAGCGTCGCCGAGGCTGTCTCTATCGTCTACGCCTAATCCGGCGGTATTTGCTTAAGGCGGTATACTCGATCCTACTAGCGGTAGGACTAGAAGCGTAATTTAGTACGTACGACTAGTACCGAGGCCTCGCTTTTACGAGCTCTACTATTAAGGTCTATATTTTAGATATTTTAGATTAAATACGATACTATCGATAGCCTTAGTCGCGCTCGCGGCCTTATCGACTTCCGCGGCCGTTAAGGAGCTACGAAATAGCGGTACCCTTCGATTCTATATACTAAGGAAGGCGCGTATTACGTATATATATATAGAAGCCGCGTATAACGCGTAGTCCGTATAGCTACCTACGTCCGGACTATCTATATATCGACTTTAGTAGGCGCGTAGTAATTAATTACTATAAGAATAATATAATATCGCGATCGACTAGTACGGACTCTACTAGTACTAATTTCTATCTAACTACTTTAGCCGCTAGGTAGTTATTCGCGTCGTACTAGTATAGATCTAACGAGGGCTAGCTACTAACTACCTATCGCCGTCCTTTTAAGGCTCGCTATAATAGTTATAGAGACCTCTACTTAAGATTATAGTTTTAAAGTATCTAAGGTATAGAAAGCTATAGTAAGTCGTATAGCGGCGGTCGTACTTCGATATAGCAGCTAACTAATATTTCTAGTACGAAGAGGTCTATAGTACTCGGTAGGGATTACTATAAGAATCGCGGGTATTCTTTACGAAGATATAGTAAGACTCCCTACTACTTAGCCTACTATAGAGGATTCTTAATCTACGGTAGTTCGGCTTGTTTCCTTCGTTTAGTATCGTCCCCTAGAAGCTAGACCTTAGATAGATATTCGAATCGTAGCTAGTAGAAGGAGCGACTATCGCGAAGCCTCTTAAGGTATTTTATATCGCTACTAGCCTTTTCTATAACGACGGCGCTAATAAGGGGGCTATAAAGGTCCTTAAGATCTAGTATTAGTTCGATACGATATCCGGCTATAGTATTAGCGTCGCCTTGCTTTTAGAGAGTACTACTTATAATTAAGAATAGACAGTATAGCTCCCGGCCCTATTTAGCGATAAGTACGCTAAGATAACCTACTTCTTAGACTATTTCTAGCTCCTCCGTAATAGTATAGGCTTCGACTAGGTAGCGACGAAGAGTTATCTCTTAGCTATATATAGCGCTCCTATCCGGCGAAAGCCTTTATTATTATTATTCGGTCTCGCCCCGCTAGAGGAGTATCGTAGCGAGTCGAGCGTTATAATAAACTAAGTCGTAGCTAATCGTAGTATAGGGCGTAAGTGTAAGAAGGGTATATTAGCAGGTAGATAGGGTAGTAGTAGGTACGAGTAGTATTCGATAAGGAGCTAGAAGGAGAGAGAGGAAGGCAGGCAAGTTAGCCTATTACTAAGCGCTAAGCCCTGCCTAAGGCATTAAGACCCTAGCTTTACTCGAGCCCGGTTATATGCTAATTACGTATAACCTCTTTAGTCCTAATATACGCTTCCCTTCTAAAAGCCGCGCCCTCGTAGCCGGTCTTTGTTCTAGTCTCAACCTCTATTACCGCTAACTTAGTAGGTCTAATAAGCCGCTTAGTCCGCGCTAAATTGAACGTATAACTACCGATTATATAACTATATTAAACCTTACCTCTAATATAGCATAATGTCTAACTCTAACTGCGCTATCCCTATATATAATAAAATAGGAAGTAATATATATCTACAAGAATTGAGGGCCTTCGACTAATTATAATACAAGCGCGTCTTCCCTACTGTAATAGGTAGACGTACGAGGTATTATAGCCCTGCCTCCGCTCTAAGTAATGTCGTACCGAGTTCTTTGCGTCTACTCTTAAAAGACCTAGCTATGTCCGCTTCTAAGGGTTTGTTCTTATTGTTACGAGGGCTATTATTGTTCGTAGTTTCGCTAGCCCTAATTGGCTAGGTTTAGTAGCCTTCAATTGTTAATCTTATTTTATCTTTTCCGAAAAAACACAGCTCGTCTAGTTTCTATAGGTAAAGGCTATTATAAGTATAGTAGTAGAGGTTCGCCTCGCTTAAAGGGTTAGATAGATTAAGGAGTAACCTATTATCCGTAAGATCGACCCTAGCTAGCTTAGCTCTATAGTTTTGCCCTTAGTTAGCTAGTCTATTAGTCGCTTAATCTTTTAACTTAGTTAAAGTTTTAACTCGGCCTTAAAGTTTTAATCAAACCTTTAATAGGCTTAATCTTTTAACTTAGCTAGTGCAGTGCCTTAGGCTTGTAGTGTAGGTAAGGTTGTGCTTACGGCGTAGCGGCAATAGCAAGTAATGTTAACAATAGCGGCGCTAGCCGTCTTAGCGCTATCTTTACCTTCTTCTAACTTCCTTCTTTAACTAATAATACTCGGCAACACCGTTACTAATATAGCTATATCCGTCCTTTCTTAATAGCAATACACTCCGCAACACTATTACTAATATAGCCGCGCCGGCCGCGCCGTCCTCGCCGATTGCCTAGGCCTCGAGGCCTCGATAGAATAAGGGAACAAGAGGGGGACCTAAATACTAGAAGAAGGGCCTTATAGAGCGCGTTAGTAGAGAGGTAGTTTCCTAAAAGAGTAGCGGATAGTTAACGCGTTATAGCGCGCTTGTTAACACTCGGTGCGCGTTTACTATAGTAGTGTAGTCTTATTGTCCTAGTTCGCCGGCCTCTAATTAGTTAGCTAATAGCACCCCGGGGGTAGCATTGTTCCTAGG